CCCCAAAACCCCAAAACCCCAAAACCCCAAAACCCCAAAACCCCAAAACCCCAATATAATTTCAATCAGTTGAATTAAATTAATCAAACCAATTTTTGATTGTATAAAATGGGTGACTACGAATACCTCAGAGTGATATCCACAGTTGTAGGCTGGGCATCTTTTTGTTGCCTAGCTCTATGATTTTATCCACAAGCTATATTATAAACTGGAGGAGAAAATCAGTCGCTGGGTTTTCTATTGACCTTGGACTTATCAATGTATTAGGTTTTCTCCTCTACTCAGTTTATAATTTTACTGGGGTGGCGTTCCCAGAACTTGGAACTGGCATTGTAGATTACAACGACCTCGTGTTTGCAATCCACTCGTTCTTTATAACATCGGTAGCTTTGGCTCAGGTGTTTATTTACGAAAGAGGAGAACAAAAGCATTTCAAAGTGTGGATGATTTACCTACACATCTTCATCTGTTGTACAGTATTGACAACCTTCTTTCTGGAAGGATTTTTTGTTGTTCCTAACATTCCTGTGGCCCTAAACACTCTGAGATTTGCAGGCTATGGCAAGTGACTGATCACGTTTATCAAATACTGCCCCCAAGTTTTCCTAAATTGGAAAAGGAAAAGCACGAAAGGCTGGAGTATCATTGGTGTATTATTTGATTTTTCAGGATCAACTTTGATTCTGGGACAAATTCTAATCGATATGATTCATAATGGATTAACAACTGGAGATTGGGCACTTCTTGAAGAAAATTCCAATGCCAACATTGCCCAATTAAATCCCACAATGAGCCTAAATAAAAGCAGGGTATCCTCATTGCCAAATACTGACGCATTCAATATTGTCAAATTTATGGTTGGATTGATCTCCGTGATGTTCAACATCATTTTCATTGTCCAGCACTTCATTCTATATCCAGAGAATGAATTCAAGAATTATCCAGTGACTAAAAAAAGTATTAAGCAAGACGAGATCAAGAGACTATATGAAGTAAGAACTTAAACAAACCATTTTAAATACAATAGGAAACTTTATGATTAAAAATCATGCTTTAATCATCTTAGAATCTTTCAATATTCTCTTATAAGTGTGGGGTTTTGGGGTTTTGGGGTTTTGGGGTTTTGGGG